TGCTGCATACTTTTTTGTAAAATAAATCACACGATTCCTATTACTACCAAAAAACAAACAATAGCTGCATAGGTGTTCGCGTTATTGTCTGCATCATCAGTCACCCGTAATTCCACAGGAACTTATATAAAATCATGGAAGATGAATCTGGGAACCAGGAATGCTCTTTGCTGGTAAAATTTTTACCTGTGGCGGCGGTTTATTTTCATTAGCTCGTATCCAGTCCCAAGCTTTGAAGAACATGCACCGAAAGCCAAACGCACTCAATCGGATGATAGCAAGTACCTCAATAAAACAAGTCTATTGTCCTGTTTCCATTTTTCAGGAAGTGTAAATGCTTACCAATAATATAGAAAGAATCACAAGTGCAACTTTGATATAACCTGAGAGTGAGATAGCTTCAGTGACAATAGCATCGACTTCAGCTGAAAGCAGATCTGCAGTTTAAATTTGAGTTGGAGAGTGGCAACGTAGTGGGTAATGCCTATTTGAGCATGAACATCGGGTGCAAAACGCTATATATATATATATATTTCAAAAAGTTTTCTTCTCGATTGCAGCAGTACCCGAACCAAATGTGGGATAAAAGATTGCTCATAACGAGAATTCTATATTTATAATTCCAGAATTGCCGTAAACTAGATCGTAAACGTAACTTAGATCCTAGCAACTGTATAATAAGGGAAGGAAAAGGTGGTAGAGATGTAACTTAAGGGAGAATGTTGAAAGGAAGCGGCAACGAAGGTGAGCAATGAAGGATAAGGAAAAGGGCGTTTTGGCTTTTACACTGCAATTACCTCCAAAAGATGCACCAAAAGTTCCAGAGGGTTCCTTCAGGTAATATGATTGAGATGAACCATTAAGGATAAAATCATGACTGCAAAAATCAAAACACAAAATTAACTTAAACGTGAACTTTTGATATTACAGTCAGTACAGCCTTACGGTCATATGACTTCCAATCGACCAAGAAGTTTGGATCAATCTGTCATTTCGATATTTGATGGAAGTTTTTACAGACAATACTCGGCATTGGTGCTTTGTTAAGGAAAGATTTAACAATTCACAATCTGAGACGACAACTCTATGGAAGAAAGATAATACCGGTGTTCAATTTTGCCATCGATATATTTCGCACAAAAAGATATTACTATAACCTAACTTATAACCTCGCTCTACATGCACTCTATCCATAGCTGCATATACAAGTATCTAGCGGAATCATGTGCAATGTTTTAAAGGTAACAAGGGCAGATGCCAACGGGAAAGTTGTGCTATTACCTAACCAAAGTGGTCCTTCTTACAAAGGAGCTCAAGATTCTCACCCACTTCTCACGCTTCGTGAAGAGGCTTTCTGGTTTTTAGTGCTAAGTGTGAGCCTCTCACAATGATATGCAGCCAGCAGTTACTTCCGATTTTGTTGGGGCACAAGATCGACACTATGAGGGTGGAACTTACTACTAGC